TATAGCCTGTTGCAGGAGCTCACTTTTTGGACCATCCTGCTTCTCTTTACCTAACCTGTTTCCTAGAATAATAGATGCAAATACCAGGTAGATATAAAAATTCCTCTGTCCAACTTTTTCTGCCACGTAATTTTATAATAAACCTGCTTTAAAAGAAATAAATCATTTTATCCTATGCCAAGTAGAGTTTTGGGGAGATAAGTTGGTAAGATATATCCCGTATCCTGATTTTGAGGTTTCCATATCCTGAACCTCCATACCTCCCGCCATATCTCCCGCTCCAGGGCATATCTTCCCGCTTCAAAAAAAATTTTGAAAAAATAAGAAGAAATTGAAAAAAAAGAGAAAAAATTTGAAAAAAATAAAATATTGAAAAAAAGAAAAGAAAAATAGAAAAAAAAATTGAAAAAATTGAAAAAAAATTAGAAAAATGTGAAAAAATTGAAAAATCTAAAGAAAATTAGAAAACTCTACTTGGTATAGGATAAAGCAGTTACACTCCCCTCCATAAGTTTGGCAACCTTTTTCCCCCATTGAACTACGTGTTAAGGCCTCTTTACCTTTGAACTTTTATTTACTTAAATTGCGATGAAAATACTTATACTATTGATGGAAACGTAATTTGACTTTAATTCCAATACCTCCAAATTTTCTAAATTTTTTTCCTCAATTACAATAGGTCGAAAATTGATAATAAATTTGATGAAGTTTTGAAAATCGACATTCCCATGTTAACCAATGGGAAATGGTAGGTTTGCCGCAAGTCATATGACAGAATATCCATCCATCCGAGTCCTTGCAAAAAATACGAGTTAGGCAGGCAATTGAATTTACTAACTTTATTTAACAAAAAATTGATAAGTTTCTTCAGGTTCAACAAAGTTATAGGGCTTTAAAGTCAAAATTGTTTTTCAAAAAACCTCTCCCATTGAAATAACACAGGAGGCGAAAAATTATTTTCAAAAATGACTTTGAAGCGCTGTAACTTTAATATTCATCAAATAAACTAAACACTTAGTGTTCAAAAAAGTTAGACAATTCAATTTTCTATATAAAAATATTTTTTGCTGAATCTTTTACTGAAAAGATATCCTGATTTCTGATTTGCCCCGAACCCTCCATTTCCCATTGGATTACATGGGAATGACGAATTTTAAAAATTCATCAAATTTATCATCAATTTTTGACCTATTGTAATTGAGGAAAAAAATTGAGAAAATTTGGAGGTATTGGAAATAAAGTCAAGTTACGTTTCCATCAATATTATAAGTTATGTCATCGCCGGTTAAGTAAATAAAAATTCAAACGTAAAGAGGCTTTAACACGTAGTTCAATGGGGAAAAAAGGTTGCCAAACTTATGGAGGGGAGTGTATGTACGGTCGGTTTGGATATTGGGTTCATCCTTCTTGAGATATGCACATCTACCTTCGGTCCCTACGGTCCCTCAGGTAGATATGCATATCTCCCTCTGGATAAACCCCATATCCAAAACCTCCTAGTACATAACCCTTATTTATCTAAAGATAACCCTTTCTATTATCATATCACTAAAGTATAACTAAGTTTACAAATTACCTTCGGCCGATGATGCAGTATTAAATGACTTGCAAATCTCAACACCTTTCTTGTTTTCCCTCTTCTTAAAAATGATACTTAATGGCTTGATGTATTCCTTTGCCAAGTTAGTTCCGTTTATTCTTTTAAATTAAAAAACGCAAACAAACGCTAGTGCTACCACAGGCATTTGCAGAAAGTGAAGATAACGTTCTCCCTGATCTCTTATAAGTCAAGCATAGGCCTTATCGTCTCTACAACAGTGAGTAGATAACTAGCTCTTTTACGAACTCTTTTTACTCAATGATAATAGATTGCCTGGTAACCTTTGGAATCAGAACAAATCAGAGCATTGAACTGCCGCAATTGTCACTTAATGAATGGGTCAATTTTTCAAAGTGATCTCATGTATATGTCTGATTGGCACGTTCAATCGAGTGGGTTCAGTCGTCGTTCTTTTTTCATACTTTCATATATGATATTCGTCAGACGTGTAAGTAAAAGATATAAAGTAATGGTCAGGTGGATGACTAAGATGAAAGACATTTTATCATACTTAGCTGTATAACATTATGAGATACAGAACTTTAGATTGATTCAAAATATGAACTGAACATACTTAAATAAAATAATATCATAATTATATCTGTGATATCATTTTACAACTTGTTGACATTTTCAACATCCACTTGAAGTAATTATAACTCTAAATAAATAAATGATATTTTCACTTTAAAATCATGACACAATGTCAATAGTGTAAATCCTCTTACAGTACTAATATCCCTACAAACGAAGTTCGGTATGCGGTAGGGATGTAGTGATACCTGCCGTCTGTCAGTCCGTCAGTCTGTCAGTTAGTCAGTCAGTCACTCCGGAGTATCCGGAGCATAACTCAAATACCAGTGGACTGTTTTACTTCATATTGAGTGGAAAGATGTACATTGGTAAATAGTTGAAATTTTGGCTGTTTATCTATAAAACATATATTCCGTGTTTTGACACGTTTTTAAAGACACTTTAAAAAGCCCAAATCCTCAAGCACAATCTGAACAACACGTTTTTGATCGAAAATGCCAAATCAACACGTGGTATAATCACGTGGTACACGTGGTACAAGTCGCTATAGGAGATTGTAATTAGTGGCATATCAATCTCTCTTCACTCGTTGACCGAAAACGTCTCATTCGGGAGGTAATTATTTCGATTTCACCAAGGTTCATTTCATGATGTACTAGGCTTACCACGAGTTCCATTTTGATTCCATTTTGATTCTTAAAGGTAAGCATGCCTTTCAAGATATTATAGTCTTGCTTCTGGGCCCTCTGACCCCTCTGCACACTTCACCCGCTTCCAGAGACGTATTTACAAGAGTACTAAGCCAAGGGATCTATTATTGTGTTGTAATTATAAACTTCAATTGCCCCTTTTAAAATAGAAGATCGAATACAAGGAAGCCCTTCAGGATCACTTGCGGTGTTCTTTACCTAGAATTGAAAAACTCCCAGGGACTTTCAAAGGGTGAGAACTTTGATTCCTCTTTCATCATAATGTTCATTTAATGTTTTGGTTCAGTCAGTCATTGCACAGAATTGGTCGAATAGCCGATAGATGTCATTCATTGATTAAACATGACGTCATATTTGAGATCTTAAGATAAATCTGACGTCATGACGTCAGTGCCATAGAAACTGAGATTGTCTTGTTTTATTTTGACGTCATTCCAATGTAATGAACCAGTTATATCACCAAAAGTTAACATATTTTGTTTGAAATTGGCCGAAAAGTTAAAGGTATGAGGATTCAAATCTCAACGGAATCAAACAGATCAACCTTCAAAGTTACAGAAACCTGAGATGACTAAGCCTCCACGTGTATTTTACTACTCCTACCACACCGTTGAAGTTTACTCCTTTCATCATTTTGACGTCATTTTGTATTGACTTCAATGGCGTAATAGGTGATTTTTGTTAATTTATTTCAAAGTTATTTCGCCGAAAATTTGTGACACCTATATTGTTCAAAGTGGGTTAGATTGATAGGCATTAGTACCTAGTTACAGGAACCTGAGATGACTAAGGTGCCATTTCAAAGTCCCGCGTTCTGTTAAAGTTCAAAAGTTTTCAACTGAGGAAATCCCATTGACTTTTAAAAACCGGAAGTCAAGGTTTTGCGCATGCGCATTGTATTTTTGGAAAAATTCTGGGCAATGGTATTATTCTTCTGATTAGTTTATCATTAGAATAAGGTGGCATCTTCAACGTATACTAAATTGATTGCCCTTGCAATCTGACACTTAACTTTTTGATGGAGCTTCAGAATTTACATCATACATTTAAATTAATATTAGTCTAAAGCAAACGGTCGTCGTAACTGACGACAGTGCCCCTTTAATCTAATTATACCTTGAGATTAACCGAATAAAGGTGAGATACTATATATCTACATGAATATATATTATTCAGGAAAGAAGGATAGTCCTGTATGATCCAGATCTTTTATATAAAATATTTCCATGTCATATCAATGGGGGGGGGGGGTGTTTAATTGCTCACTGGATATATGAGTTTAATTGTGTGGTGAAGAAATTCCTGTCTTATCAGGTGCTTATCGATTCCATTCTTGAATTGATTTAGGTGCCTATTACGGATTTGGGAAAATTGTTCCATGTGTTGACAATTCTATTTCCGAATACATTTTAACCTGCTTAGGCCTATAGGGAAGTCTGCTTATCTATGGCTTAATTTTTCTGTATTTACTCTCGTCATCTTGTTTGTGCAATGTTACTGTTCCAGGCCCGTAGCCAGGGGGGGGGGGGTCCCCTGGCCAAAAATTATTTCAAAATCATGCAGTTTTTCACCATTTTTAGCCATATTTGGGCCAAAATTGTCAAATGTTAACCCCCCCTGGAAATTTTTGAAAACTGAACCCCCCTTGGCAAATCCTGGCTACGGGCCTGCTGTTCTGCCTGAAAATGTCATGGTCTGAAAAAATTGTTCCATTATTCAAAAATGTTCAGGCAAGGAATGGGAGGCCAGGAGAACAATTCGTCTTCACAATTCTGAGCACCTTTCGCATGATTTTTTGCCAAAACTGTCAAAAAGCTCCCCCCCCCTTGGCAAAAACCCGGCAAAAACTCCCCCCTTGGTAAAACTGCCCCCCCCCCGGCCCCCCCCACACTGAGGTATATCAGGGTTCACTTTTTGAAGAATTCCAGGGGTTCACTTGTGATAATTTTGGTCCAAAAATGGCCAAAATCACTTAAAAAGTGCTCAGAATGGTGAAAAACTGCATGATTTTGGCCAGGGTTCGCTCGAACCCAGTCGATCTGTTTCTTGTGGCTCCTGCTCCTGGGCTACAAAGACTACATGTACCCAAGGCCGTAATTTCCCGGGTGAAATAATTCGCAATCATTTCGTTCAGAGCTTCGTGTATTTCCGTAAACCGAGAATTTCCGGAAATGTAAAAATAAAATAAAATATCTAGAAAACTGAAAAATGTAGCACAAACGCAGATTTTGGCTTTCACAGGTAAATTATGGGTCTAACATTGAGAATGCACCAAGTTAGTGACATGTGTAATCGCTTTTGATCACTTAACACCACTAGTTTAGCGTAGTAATGAAAGAAATAAGAATTAGTTCCTTGATTTTTTTTATTTTATTGAAATTCAAATCAAATGAAAAACTCAAATTCAATTGACTAGGCTAGGCCTATCAAAAGTCAAAACATGTGAGTCAATTTAGTCCGGCTTTACTCAATGATATATTTCTAATTATCCAGAGATGTAGATGTGGGTAGAACATCCATTTTAGATACAGCTGTCGAGTGGGTTCCTCTCCTCAGTGTTCCCTGTCAGTAAGAGGGGGATTCAGAGAATACATATGTCTATAATGTAAATGTGTATTGAGAAAACATCGTAGCCAATTTGTCAATGACATCTGAAACACAACTGTTGCAATAATTAGGACCACAACACATGCGAGTCTAAGGGGTCTTAAAGTGTTAGCGTTCGGAGATTGAGAAATGTCAGACACTACTTAAATTTTAGAAGAAAGGTTGATCTTTCGTTTCATATTCTCAAAGTAAGTTGAAGTTATCATATTTGAAATCGTCAGTAGTTTTCCAGAATACCTGTGCGGTGATAGGACCATTTCCCCTGTATGACTTTTAGTTAAGCTCTGATTTATAGTTTTGTTTTGATGTTTTAGGTACTGATGTTGGGAAAAAGTTGACAGGAAGTCCAGAATTGAAGCCTCCAAAGCTAGGCCATAAGCAACATGTCAAACAAAGGAAAGGTGAGTGTTATCCATATTATTTTGTCTTATGGGGAAAACTGAAAAATGGAAAATCATCAGGGGTTTCACTAAAACATCAGTTTCAGCTTACTCGGTTTTATTTTTGCAAAAAGTTGGACTGAAGTTTGCAATGCTGCACTATGATTTCATGTTGAGGTTATTCTATTGATTATATTCCATTATCCAGATTGTATTTTATAGGTCTACCATACTGATATATGATATATTTGTAATTTCACCCTTATTTTCAAATTGACCTACTTTTGCAATTTGACTTCAAAGTTTGTTCAAGGAATCACAATATGAGCCTACTGAATGATGCCAATTTTGACATCATGTCTTTTTTATTTCACCTTCACAAGTCCCTGGTGTTTGGTGGTTAGTGATCAGCGGTTGGCATTCAGTGTCTTGAAACAAGTGGAAGGTAGTGACATTTTGCATGTTGATACCTTATATTTCTTTAGGAGCATGACACTAATAAACAAAATGAGAAGACCCCACTGATGCGGCAAGGGTCTGCTGGTGGTAGGAAGCAACTACCTGCTGTACCAGATGCTGACACCCAACTCTCTCTTGCCTCTAAGATGATCGACAAAAAGACATCCACTGCTAAAGGCAATCATTCCTATGGACCATTCTTCTTAGAATATTCTCTATTAGCTGAGTAGTAAGTTACTTTATGACAAGTCATTAGGTTTCAGAATGAATGTATGCCATATGAGACATAGTCTTAAAGTTGAGAAGTATCTTGCTCATCATCACAAATTACCTTACCACTTGAAGAATAAATACGAATAAGCCTTACGATTTAGTTTTCAAATACTAAAAGTAAAAGGGTCATTTTGTTCATGATTGAAAATATATTCACATGTAGAATAATAGCATCTTCCAAAGAGTAAACATAACTTTTCGAAAACGGGTTATTTTTTCTCAATTCTTACCTGACCTTTTCAGCTTTGATTCACAATTATCTGACATTTACCCAAAAAATACAATTTAAAATTCTCTGACATGTCAAGCCCCTTTTTGGTCTAATTTAATTCGAAAATTTCCCGAATCGTGCTGGAAAAATGTATGCATTTGCTGTCAATACTTTTTGGAATAAAAGTCATAAAAAAGCCACCAATATTTATGTTTTCTTTTTGTTTTTAGTAACCAGCTCCAAAAGCAGAAACTTCCAGGAGTTTATGTAATTCCATCTGCCAAATCAGCTCTATGTAAGTATACGTATAAGGCAACAAGAAGTAGATTCTTTGTTTATATCCTGGAAAAATTCAAATAACAGTGCAAGTGTACAAGGAAACACAACCAAATGTATGCAATTTCTACAAAAGTTATATTTACATGTATTACATACCTAGCGAAGCATTTGTATGGAAGTCAATGGAGCGGAAGGCCGGCTATATATTCCTGTATAGCCGCCAAACTTTATTACCATGATAATTTTATGACATCATAACATACAGACAAAGTTATTTTGACTGGAATCATGTAAAACTTTGGTCTTTTTTCGCGCATTTCTACATATTATCTTCATGAAATGTTATGTAAATGTACTTTAGGTATGTAATACAACAATTATGTCCGTATCATAGAATATATGCCTTCGGTCTGTCGTAATATAGCCCTCGCAAGCTCGGGCTATTTTGATGACAGACCTCAGGCATATATTTAATGATAGGGACATAACTGCTAAGTATTTTGCCAACTGTATTAATTAGTTAAATATCTTTTTGTATTGCTTTATTGTTCTTGTCTTGTGCTGATGGATGTGTTTGTGTTAGGGTGTTTCACTTTTCAACTTTTTTTCCAAATAATAATGCAAGGGTACCAGGAAACACAACAAAATGTATGCAATGGTATGTAGATGGTAAATATTACATTGTGACTGTACAGATTCATGATTGATATAGTGTTCGTTGGGATTCGTCACTCCGTGGAGTTGCCATTTTCTAATTAGGTTTTGGGTATGCTGCGAAAATTACTTGGCAGCCATTTTGAATTTGTTGATAAAAAGTGAGGTATTTATCTTGTTGATTAGTATATTACATTGAAACAGTTTCATAGTATGCAATATAATTATATTATTAACAATCATGTATAAACAGTCTATAAACAATCTGCCATCTATGTATTCTTGCAGTTTGGAATGGTATCCTGTTTATAAGGCAAGGGATTTACCAAGAGGGAATTTTCCGCTTCTCTCTTCATATTCCAGAAAACTACCCTGATGGGGATTGTCCTGTAAGTATATGTATGTGTCCGTAGCCAGGATTTGCCAAGGGGGGTTCAGTTTTTATGTCCCCACCACATAGTGTGGGGCCATATTGTCGGCCTAGGCGTGTCCATCTGTCTGTCCGTCCGTACGTCCGGGAGTTTTCTCCAAAACCGCTACAGATATCACCTTCAAATTTTCAGGGATAACTTATGAGTGCCTATTGATGTGGATGAAAGAAATTTAACTCGAAACCTACTTCCTGTCGGCCATTTTGAAGTCAAATGCTAAAATCCTTGTCTGCAAACTTTAAGAAAAATGGCTTCACAGTGGCTTTTAAAACTTTAATATCTTGTTCAGCTCACTTCATTCTAGATCTGATGAGGTTTTGGACCTGTTAGCTCAGTCATGTCAGCCATTTTGAATGTCTTAAGAAAAGTTAGCGCGCGATAAAACTTTGTATCATATTGAATGGTGTTTTTGAGTTTTCATACTCTAACTATTTAGTAGCTTTATAAATAATTTCAGATGTACTTTGTTGTAAAAGCCTATGTTATTGTTAACAGTAGTTATATGTGATAATTTTGTAAAAAGAAATCAGCAAAAACTCATAAGGACTTTTTTATTTTTCGGTCCTAAAATCTTGTCTGTGAAGTCTTGTCTGCGCGTTTTCAGGTGAACCGTTTGGTGGATCAATTTCAAATTTTCAGGGATGATTCTTAGTATAAAAATCTAGATCTCATTAGTTTTTTGGCATTCTAGGTAAATGTCAAGGCAGCCATTTTGGATTTTCTGTCCTAAAATCTTGTCTGTAAAGTCTTGTCTACGCTTTTCCAGGTGAACCGTTCTGTAGATCAATTTAAAAATTTCAGGGATGATTCTTAGTATGGAAATCTAGAACTGATTAGTTTTTTGGCATTCTGGGTAAATGTCAAGGCAGCCATTTTGGATTTTCCGTCCTAAAATCTTGTCTTTAAATTAAAGTCTTGTCTACGCATTTTGGATTTTCCGTCTTAAAATCTTGTCTGTAAAGTCTTGTCTACGCGTTTTTAGGTGAACCGTTCGGTAGATCAATTTCAAATTTTCAGGGATGATTCTTAGTATGAAAATCTACATCTGATTACTTTTTTTGCATTCTGCGTAAATGTTAAGGCAGCCATTTTGGATTTTCTGTCCTAAAATCTTGTCTGTAAAGTCTTGTCTACCCGTTTTCAGGGAACCGTTTGATAGATCAATTTCATATTTTCAAGGATGATTTTTAGTATGAAAATCTACAAACAGATTAGTTTTTTGACATTCTGTGTAAATGTCAAGGCAGCCATTATGGATTTTCCATCCTGAAATCTTGTCTGTAAAGTCTTGTTTACATGTTTTCTGGTTAAGTGTGTGACGGATCAATTTCAAATTTAGAAATCTAGAAGTGACTAAATTTTTGGCATTCTGGGTAAATTTTAAGGTGGCCATTTTGGATTTTCCGTCCTCAAATTGTGTTGGTCAAGTCTTGTCTACTCATTTTCAGGATAACCATTTGAGGGGATCACCCATTGGTGGGGACATTTTGTACACATTTGTGTTCTTGTAAAAAAATTCCAGGGGGGGTTCACATTTGACAATTTTGGCCCAAATATGACTAAAATCACTTGAGAAGTGCTCAAAATGGTGAAAAACTGCATGCTTTTGAAAGAATTTTTGGCCAGGGGGGGGTTTCCCGAACCCTGCGAACCCCCCTGGCTACGGGCCTGCTTATAAACTACATCGTTTAAATGATATGCGAGTAAGATGTATCAATACATTTATGATATTGCTTTATAAAGTCAGTTTCAGCTTACTAGGTTTTATTGATTTTCTCTGGACGATCTATTTTTGCAAAAAGTTGGACTGAAGTTTGCAATGCTGCACTATGATTTCATGTTGAGGTTATTCTATTGATTATATTCCATTATCCAGATTGTATCAATACATTTATGATATTGCCTTATAAACTGAATCTTTGAAAATGATATGCGAGTAATATGTCTCAATACATTTATGATATTGCCTTATAAACTGAATCTTTGAAAATGATATGGGAATAAGTCTTTATACATTTATGTTTGACATAAAAACAAGTTTGATTTTTAAAAAAGAATCGGAAAAAGCAAGCAGCTCCAAAGTGTCGATACTTTCTTGTCATGTTTATTCACAAAGATCAGGTCAAGTTGCTCGGAGAAATATTTCCTATCAATTAAATATTTTTACTCTTTAATGAAGTGTTCACTAAAGGGATTTTAAAGATTTAGCTTTCTTATATAATTCATTTCAGAAACTTGTATTCGATCCTCCTGTATTCCATCCAGTCATAGATCCAGAAACGGGACATTTAGACGTCACCAGAGCATTCCAGAAATGGCGACGTAACCACAATCATATATGGCAGGTGCTACTCTATGCACGGAGAGTCTTCTACAAGATAGAGACAAAATCTCCACTCAACCCTGAAGCTGCAGTTTTGTAAGATGTTTTTATATACAAAGATGAGGGTTGTCCAAAACATTTTGACATACTTTCTCTTATTTTGTAAAATTGGAAAATGACAAATGATTGCTCAATATATGTTTACCAAGTTTAAGAATGAATACATAACACTTTGAATTCAACAATGTCAAAACATTTTTAACAACCCTTGCGTATCCAGAATATTATAAAATTGATTTTCTGAAGTACCTAGTGCAAAGATTTTTTTGATTTTTTTTAATCATTTATTTCATAAATTAAGTTCATGGTATAAAATTATACATGTTGTACCGCCTAGGTTTGAACATAAACATTGTTGGCAGTTGTGCAAAGATCAAAGCCCACTTTATTGATAAATGAGTTTTCTGATTGAAGAGAATAGTTTGATGGTTCGGGGTCAAATGATGATGTTTTAATTTTAAGCCAGCTTTCATTTTAATTCAATAGTGTAATATTCAAAAGCCTCAGCAATGAGATGAAGATTATTTGAAAGGTTTGTAATTCATTCCAAGCCAGGTGACTCAGGAGTCAGATCGTTTGATCTGGGCCAGATGAATTATGTTAATGTTTGCCTTGTTTCAATTTAAAAGAGAAGGTAACTTACTCTTTCAAATAACATCAAAACTGTCAGTTTATTTATCTTAATCAGAGCCTAACTATTTAGCTCGGACACTCAAGGTGTTGATACTTAACACTTCTGATGTACCTTGATGGGGTCTGTTGTTTCGTTAACTTAAACATTGCAAAAATGATACTTTAATCATTGACCCAAAATGGTTTCATGTTTTATTTAATCTCATTGCAGATATGAGCAAGAAATAGAGGTTTACAAACAGAGAGTGGCAGAGAGCATCAAGAAATGTAAAGACCACGTTTATGATTCACCAAACTCAGATGACCCCCATGCTATAAAGTAAGTGAATTGTGAAATCCTGTGTAAAGGTTTTGCAAAAGTTCTATATTAAGATTGAAAGTGCTTTCTGTCAGGAATGGTGTCACAACCTCTCGAGTTATTCAACTAAATAATAAAGACCACTGATCTTCCCAAATTTTTTCCTAACAAAATGTTCTATTCTTTGGCAACAGAAATTGGTCATTCATTTGACAAAAGATGTCATGTGGGATGTAAATTTAGGTTATCAGTCTAGTATACAGACAGATTGAAGAAAACTGTTGTTACTTTTTGGTTAATGCTCCAATGTGAATGGAGTAGCTTAGCGTTTCTGAAGCTATGGTGTTTGTTTTAATGACCCTTTATTTGTATATGTCTTTATTATGTGACCACTGCCTGCCTGTCTTCAACTTTTTGTGGATGGTATTTGGCGGTTGGCATCTGTTACAAATTGTGGTCAGCATCTGTAACAAATGGCATATTGATTTGCATGTTAATGCCTTGCCCTTTAATTGTATATGTCTTTATTCCATAAATGTATTTGTCATAGATAATAATTGTCATGTTTTCAGGTTTAGTCCCTGGGAAGTAGATGTACATGGGGATGCCAGGGAACAGGTATTGACCCCCAAGGTAAACAGAGGTAACTAGTTTGGTGGTGGGCTTTTATTAACCAAAGTGGCTAGAGGTCTGATAACCTTACCACAGAGTCTAAAGTAAGAAGTAATGATTATCAATTCAATATTCTTCTGTGGTAAATTACTAGATCTCTTGACATTGCTTTTAGAAAGTTAATATACTCTTGAATCTGCTTCTTTTGACTTATAATTGGAAATATCATTTATTTCTTTAAATTGATTTTAAGCTGCTTTTCACACCTGTCTTATATTAGTATATGCTTTTCCCAATGGTGATGATTTTTATTTTTATGATACCACCACCAGAAGTTGTGACATATTGTAAATGTCTCCAACTTTTTGTGGCCTACTAGTAATGCTGGTAGATGAATTTGATTCAGGCTTTACATGGTAATACCTTAGGGACAGAGGACATCTGCTCAAAAAGAAATTTTCAAGATGGCCACTAAATTCAAAAATAAGTATTATTTGTAAAAAATATAATACCAGTTGGCATTGGACTCAAATGATTAAAATACTGTACCAGTTTTAAAAGCTGATATCTTATGGCAATAGGACCTCTGCTTGAGAAGGATTTCCTGATATGTAGATTTGTGGAAAGGAGAAAATACTACTGCCTGGTTTAATTAACCATATATTATAATATGTTCGAGACAAGCTTTGATAAAATACATGTATGTTTGTTTGCTTGGATCTGCTACTCCGGAGAGTTGCTTTTTTACGTCGGCACCAAAAGTGGTGACATATTGTTATGGTCTCCAGCTTATTTGTGACAGCGTATGGCGGTTGGTGTTTCATGTCTGTCACAAATGGCTGGTGATGCAATTTTGCATGTTAATGCCTAGTTTTAGTTAAAATTTGTTTTAATTTTGTTTAGTAAATATTTACCTGTTTTTTGCTCTCTACATACGGAAATTAACATTTGGAATCTCTGAGGGCTGTCCAAAAGGATACTATATTTCATTTTCCAACATTTTTTCAGATCTGCCTCAGTGACAAAAATGCGCAGACTTCTGGACTTTCCTGGATTGATAGAGGCTCAACTAAGGTTTTCTCTAGGGATGATTCAGCAAATGCATAGATAACCAGAAGGAACAATTGCCAACAAGATTGTGCTTTAAACTATTAAAGCCTAATCTACACCAACAAGGCACGGTGGGATCTCGGTACTAAATGTAGGATTGCATTAAACTTGAAAGATATGTGGTGATCAAATCAGTCCAAAGCACAATCTCAAAAATACTCATTTAGATTGACTTTATTTTTTGGATCAAACTGAAAATTCATTAAATCAGCCAATATTTCTCCTATTATATGGAACAACCATGAGGATGTAGAATCATTTTTTGGAGTTAGTGTCATCATGCCAAATACTGTACTCTGGGCAATTGTTGGCATAATAACGAAGAGCAAGAGCTGAAATTGGAATGATAATGCTCTGGAGATTATCTAGAATATGGTGATCAATGCAGTTTTTGTGATAGCTCTTATTGCAACCACAATGTCAGGATGCCTAGTATAACCCCTACTGTCGTCAGATGCATCAGAACTATTTTTATTGACAATATGACATAGCCATGTCTGTATGTGTGCTCCACATAGATTATGTCATTCAATGTAAAATCAAAATATTTAAAAACGTATTTATATTTTATCATACATGAACAATTTTTGATACAATGTACGGGGTCAGTATCCACTGTTCAACACATGTTTCATTCAGAACACCATATCTTCTCACAAATGAGCCAGTAATACTAAGTTCAGAAATACCACATCAAGAATAAGTGCTTTTCTTAATTAATTTGTTTTCAGACCTACTAGGAAGTGTCTATTTGTGCAGTTGCATACCCAAAACCTTTTCGTATAAAAATATAATTTCTAGTTGAGACAATTTAAATTTTGTCTGTGTATAGTATACTGCACTTGTGCCAATTCCATGTTTAACCATTTTTAACGTGGTCATCAATATATTGTTATCATGTTTTCACTATTTAGTCAACCACTATGATCATATATCGAAATATTTTACCACTTCCTTTTAGTTTAGAAGTCCATATATTATTCATAATTCAATAAACTGAGTTAAATCCAATTTCAAATTGCTCAATTTCTTTAACAACGATGTGAAATTAAATGGTGCTACTCCTTTTCTGTTGAAACCCAGAAAATACAGACTTATTCAGGCACAATATTTTTCTGTATTTTACTGGAATCATTTATTTTTCTTGACCCCCAAACACTGAACACTTAGTCTTGCCTGAAACAGGAATAAGCCCCTAGGACACTTTTTCATATGTATATGCTCTACCATTGAGCTATATGATGTATATGGGCAGACCATATGCCATTCAATAATGCCAAGAAAAAAGTCATTGAACATTGGAGTTATTTTCGTATTTTCCCCTTTCAAAGTATTTCTAGTTTGAACTTTTTGTGTGGTGCTTTTATTTTAAAAAAGATAAGTTATGGATATTTGCCTAAATATCAATGGTAGTGTGCCTCTGTATGTTGCAGTGTATATCAGCAACAATATATCATCACTGATTGTATGTGGTTGCACTTTCAATTACATTATTTGAAATAACTGAATCAATGTCTATCAAGTGTTTGAAGTCAAAGTTTAGTTATGTAATAATATGATGATAAAATTATATTTGATGCGATGACAGAATACAGAGATGTATTTTTGAAAGGGTGACATTTGAGCCATCCCTGATCTATTTTGATATTATGGGATATTTAAATGTTATTAAATTTGATGTCCATGTATTTTTGATTTTGCTGCTGTATGTATTGAGTTGGAATTATTTAAAGGACCATGTATATAAGGTCTTAATTTTAAATGAAAAATCATTTTATGTCACCATCACTACTGTTGAAAAATAGTTGTAGTCTCCTGATTTTTTTGTGGATGGTGTTTTGCGGTCAGCATTTGGCGTCTATAATAAATTGCAGGTGGTGACATTTTGCATATCAATACCTTTTTTGATAATTTTGTTACACTAAATAAAATGTCATATCAAAGTTTAAAAATGAAATTTTTTTGATTTCTTGATCTCCTAAAAATGAAGAAATCATTTCGGGTCAGACCTTTAATCACATGTTGTGAATCAGGTATTCCTGTCATGATAATGCCCTAGCGCTGTCTATATGTACCCTAGGGCTATGACATCAGTCAATGTCATTATTGGTGAGAGACATACATTTATTTACATGTCTCTGGTGTGGTTATGGATGGAAAAATAAGCAGTTTCATAAGAAATTGTTAGATCAAGATCATGCAGAGTGATGTTGTATAAAAGATTTTTTATATTCTTGTACTGAAGCAGTTTCCAGCTTTCTATTTAAAGTAGCTGTCACATTAGCTGTGATACGTTCACATTAGCTGGCCCACCATTCGCCACTGTCTTTCAAATTTCCGGCATTAATTTTTTGATTAAATTGATTGCTATTTAAATTAAAAGAGATATCTTGCTGGTGAACGATGAGCCCACACTACATAAGTGTGACAAACTCCCATTGGAGCCATCTTGTTGATCATTCTTGATTTGAAAAGTCACTTTTTTGTCAATGTATTTTAGACTGTCATACAGGGTGTTCCATAAAAGAGCATCTAACAAGTGATTGGTCACCCTGTAGACTTTATACATGTACATTATGTGCAAGTATCTATTTATATTGTAAATATGTTTTGTTTGTGAAAGTATGTGATTCCTTATTATATGTAAATAAACCGTCAAGCCTTATTTAAAACAACAAATTTTGTCTGTGTGTTAAAATGGTGTTGAAATTATTTTCATGTTTTGGTCGTTATTTGCAGGATTAAAATATTTTATTAGCATCACCATGGTAACAGCATTAACTTCCCTCTTTGTGATAGCTATTTTTATCAATACTTTAACATTTCGTTACGTGAATGTAAATTTCCCAATACATTTTTTGCCATGTAGCTCCATTTGGAGATGCAAATCAATAAGCAAGTTGGGAATTGGCTACAAGTCTTTTAATTCATTTTTCTCTCAGTAATTTGATAGGTTAATCATGTAAGCTGTAAACCTCTGAGAACACTTGTACGGTCGCCCTCTTAATATAGCCAAGAGCTTTAAGAAAAGTCAAGTTGAAAATAAATTGATTTGTTTGAAAGATTTGTGGCTACCCTTGACAGGGAAAAATGAAGAGGATTCTTTTAGACATTTTAAGACAAAACATTGTGATTTTTCCCCTTTATAACAACTTATTTAGACATTGATCTGCTCCTAAATTCAATGTTAATATTATCTATGTAAATACTTCACATTGATCCTAGGTCTCAGATTATACAATTACTTAGTCTAACAAACCTGAACACTGTTTCGTACTATTTTTTGCAATAGCTCTTGGGAATGATTTCATATTTGAAACAGGATTGCCATCATTAGGACCCAGTGGTTGTTTATGGCTTCAAATGTACTAACTGTGGTTAGGCATCTAAATTTTGAGGTTCTATCAAAACATTTTCCAATGCTTTGGTAAAAATGGATAGTATAAAAAGGTTATATTATAGCTATCATATCAAGAGAGATGCAAGGAATATACCTTTAAGGTACAATGTTGTTATGAAGACAATTTTCAAATGTTTCGGGTCAACTTCATCCTATTAATCAAAACTGGTAAATAGAGCTAGGCCAATAAGCTGAAAATACTGAAGAAGGCTTGAATGATGTGCCCAGTATAGGATTGATGTATTGAAGGACCATCATTAAGAACAAGTAGTATGATTGCCTTGGAAACATTTCAAACACTTTACAGTGTGAGAAAATGGGAAATATTGCACCTGAGACTTAACATAATTTTTTGTTTGTTTGTTTATAGTCTCAGCTTACCTGCACAGAGCCGTAGCTATGATCTAAAATTTGGGGAGCAATTTGAGTCAAAGGCTAAATAAAACTACCATAGTTAATTTTAACAATTTCATTTTGGATTTATATTTTCTTTAAGATTTTGGCAGTTGACTTGTCTGCCTCCTGCCTTGTTCCGACCATTGTGTATTCAACCATATATGTACAGGGTGGTCCAAAAAACTGAACCCCTGCAACGGGCTTTGTTTTATTGTTTTTCTTAATGCATGCATGCATTATGCCATAATTTATTCTTAGTCTTGAATTTTGATAAAATAACCATTCAACAGTTTAAGGGGCATGTTACATACACAAACGGTTGGGGGGGGGGGGGCAAAGTTATCCCCTGTGACCCAAACTCTGAGAAGCGCTTCGTAAAAATATCTTACAAAAATCAAAAGGAAATATTCACTGTTTTGACCCATATTTCATTGGATATGGTTCATGATTAATGAAAATAGTGACATTTTAAGACAGGGGTATGTTGCGGTTTCACTGGAAGATTCTTTCGTCTTTGGAAACTTCAAGCTAGAACATTTCTTCGGATCACAATAACTTGGCAACTAACGGAGGCAGGATGTTCATTTTCAAACCATAATGTGCAGGATTCAAATCCGAACAACGTCAGAAAACATTGAGTTTTTCAGATTGTGGCTAAGAAAATTCCACTGGGAGAATATTGTTGAAGGTTCGAAGAATCGCAAATGTTGAAGCTCACATTTTATCGATTTTCAGTGATGTTTGGTTAGGGCTTATGATTTCTGCAAATTTCAAAACCACGAACAATGTATAGTGCCAACAAGTATTTTAGACATTCCAGGATCATCAGTGTCAATATATAGGGACAGAAAATATTGTCATTTTAAAAGTAATGTTTTGGTTTTATTTTGGATGATTTTTATCAGAGAATTTTAATTTTTAATTGCCTTAAAACGTTACTTTGTTTGACTTCAACTTTTATCTACGAAGACTGGATGATTTTTTATGAAGGCATACTAAAATGCGTTACTTTGCCTTTAAAACGTTACTCATTACTTCAAATTTTCTCTACGAAGATTGGGTGTTTTTTATGTAGGCGTTCTTAAAACGCGTTATTTTGCCTTTAAAACGTACTTTATTTGACTTCAACTTTTCTCTACGAAGACCGGATGATTTTTATGTAGGCGTTTTTAAAACATGTTACTTTGCCTTGAAAACGTTACTTTATTGGACTGGAACTTTTCTCCACGAAGAAAGGATTTTTGTAGGCATTTATAAAACGCGTTACTTTACCTTTAAACGTTACTTTATTTGACTTTAACTTTTCTCTACGAAGACCGGATGATTTTTATGTGGGCGTTTTTAAAACACGTTACTTTGCCTTAAAACGTTACTTTATTGGATTTTAACTTTTCTCCACGAAGACCAGGATTCCTGTATGAAATAAGGAAAATATAGCCCGCTGCAACAGTTCAATTTTTGAATTTTTTGGACCACCCTGTATATGTTCGAACAGACTCCTCATCATCTATAAATATAGGATGTCTAATACATTATGTATATGATTCTTTGCAAAAACGCAAATCCATTTTTCCATGTAAAGTAATTACTACAAGATAAGTAATAGGTTAAAATTGTTCAATTCCATGTGAAAGAGCAACAATTACCGGCAAATGGATAAAAAATGAGCAACATTATCTTCCTGTCAAACACGGATGATGGAGGCCCATAAATAATGAAGTGTAACAGAGCGAAAGATTACAACAGCACTCAGCACCAATTTCATGATTGACTATTGCCAAAATCCATTACACCAGATGAGATTAATGAAAAAGTCACGGAGTTGGCGAAGTACGACATAAATTGTAATGTTTAGAGTTGGTTGCAATTAGCACTTTTACAAATTGCATTGTGCCTTCCTTAAATGTATTTGCTGCTGCACTGTAAAAAGCATTGATTGAAAACGCGCGACTTCCCTTGAGGTGGATCCCAGCTTTGGTTGAGAAATAGGGATCGAAAACAGCTATAGTTTTCTCCTGATGACCATTGTGAATTATTGTGTTTTATGGATTATGGCGACGGGATTTCAAATTCATGTAGTGTTGACGCCTATGGCTATGGACCTTAATTTTTGAGACTGTATTTCTCTATCCCACATCATTTAAGATAGAAAGCTATCTTGTATGAGTACTTGTATGCACGGATATTCTTGATGTTATGAGTATTGGCTATCAATTTATAATTTTTTCTTCAACATGTATTGTGATGACTTCAGTATGAATAAAATGTCCCTTGATGGTCTCATCTTGGATTTTGATATTGTTACTTGTGAATGTTGGCGGAAAGAGGGAATTAGGAGGCTATTGTTTCTTTTCACGTTAGATCATGGTTTTGGGATATGGGGTTTGTTTTTCTCATGACTAGTATAGACTCACAGATGGCAGAATTCTTCTAAGATTATTTAGGATGTATTTCCTAAGAAAAATTCTGCTATCTGTGTATAGACTTAG